GACGACATGGCGCCCATCGTGGGGCTCGAACATCCGACACTCCAAGGGAATGAATAATAAGATAATACCTACATTGTAAGTAGTAGTACACCAGGGACAGTGGTACACAAATGCAGAATCCATCTCTAACTGGCTGACGACTAATTCAGTATACTTTTAATGCAAGAAAAGCACTTACAATTTGTGCCGCTTTCGATAAATAATGATACGTAACTAATCTTCGGATTTCATGGTACAACGATCAATCAAATAACTATACATAATAATGTTCAAAAATAAATAATAAAAAAACAGCACATGGATATAGGGTACTTCGTGCCAAATCACTGAAGTCGACCGGATCATTTTTAATTTTTTGGTATTATTTAGTACCCATTTAGAGTAGCTTTCATGAATTTTTTCAAATTTTTATTTCAACCCCTCAATAAGTTATGAGCATTTGAATATTTTGGGCACAAAGGATTCAAAAACTTACCTGTAACTTGGCAAAATCTAAAGATATACATTTTTTTTTCGTTTTGAGATGTAATTTTATAAAAAAATAAAAAAACTGAAAAAGTACTTTTTGAGTGGTAATTTTTTTTTCGAAAAATTCTCAAAAGATCTTCAAACTTGTGAGAGGTTTTAGTGAGATTTTTTTCAATTTTTTTAAATAAAAATTTTTTAATTTTTTTTCAATTTTTTTAATAGATTAAACTATTAAACAAAATTTTATTATAGAAGTAAATCGCGAAAACTAATAACTATATTTTTAAAACTACTTCTACTAATATTATCATTACTAAATGTCTAAATTATTATTAACTAAATACTCCGAATTTTAATTTAAAATATAAAAAGTTTGTCATCGTAACCTCTCAAAATACACAGGCTGAAACATGTTACGGCAAATGGTAGACGTTATGGGAATACCGTCCTCGCCCAGCTACAGAAAACTTAGGATTTGTTGCGATATTTGCACCGAGACATTTTTTCACCGATTCTTCTTCACTCACACGTAAAATAATAGGAAATAGGTTAAATAATTCTTAAGTTAGATACCGTTGATGGAAACCGAAAATACCGTGATTTTGGTTATTTTCCATAAACCCCATTTTCCTTAAACTTTGAAATGAAAACTTGGTGAATATAGGTATATAAGTATACTATAAGCTTTCATTGAAATCTGCATCCTGTTTGAGGTGGATGTAAAACAACAAAATAAGATATATGTCACAACACTCACAGCCCACTTATCTTGCAGTTTACAAATATATTTTGGGCGTTATCAGTATTTTTGCAGCTTCAGTTTCATAATCCACTGGGGGGAGGGGGCACTTCATACAGTGAGACAACTTATTTTGTTATGGTTTACATTAAAATATATATAAAAATTTTTGGAAAATTAAGAAAAGCTACCGAGATCGTTGAACCCATTCCAAATTCCTAATATAAGAAATGGTAATCATAAATTAGTGGACTGTAGATAGTGCCTACTAACGCTGATAGCACTTTGCCTAAAATAAACAATTTATTATTGATATTTGTTAAAAATAAACATTTGCCCAAAATTCGCCCTCTTTGTGAGGCCGGACTATTTTTCGAACATGTTTCTCTATAGAATACTTTAACGTTCTAACACACGAACTTGTAGCCAGTGGCGGAGATGTTGAATGCGTCCAGGGGCATTATTTGTAAAAAGTTGTATAAAATAAAAGCAGAGATTTAAGAAAACAAATTTAAGAAATCATATTTGGCTGTATCACTATGTAATACTGAGTATTCTGAAAATTCGATTTGTGTCATTCATTGACAATTCTCTTCCATTTTGATGGAAGGACAAGTTGTTGTAGTTAAGATTTATCTTAATGATCTTAGTTGCAAACTGAAAATTGTTCTAAAATTACTGTTTCCGCAAAAACAGTTAAGGAGAATTTCGTTAGAAATATGTTTTTAATTACAACGTAATGAGTCAGAAGGTGCAAGAATTCATCGGCGTAGAAGTTTTTACTTTTCAAAGGGTGTAGGTTAAAAATAATAATAAAAATCTACGCCTATAACATTTATGAATTTTTTGATACATTACTTTGTATTTAAAATAACAATACCTCCCTTAGATTGCTTTGCAGCCTTCTCAGTTAATTGCCACGTAGTCGGTTTAGGCTTTTTGGACGTTTCGAGGTACATATCGAAACTTTCCCTTCTTCAGAAACTCTGAAACCGGATCGGGGCAGATCATAATAAATTTAATTTTGAACAGTCGACTTGTCGAGAATTTAAAATTTTAATCTAAACATAGTTATAATATGCAATAAAAACAACTGTTGCGTTTCGAAAACATGAACCAAACTTTTGTTACTTTAAATAGAACACTGTATATATTTATAATTTTTTGGATTCCTCTTTTTTCTCTGATTACAATGATATATACATGTCATATATGTACTTGTTTTGATAGTTTACGCAATATTTTGATTTATTTACTGATCTTGTACATAGTCAAGATTGCCATGGAACCACCGCGTGGGTATGTTTTTCGCTGCTAAAACTAAACATATCTTTAAATTGTCTATGAAGTAAAAATATTTTTTTATAAAATACGTTTTATGATGCAAAGCTATCTATCTATCTATCTATTTCAAAAAGTTTTTTTTCTTTATCCACGTCAATAAAATCTTTAGTCCTATCAGGTGTCCCAAAATTCACGCAAGATTACAATTTTACGCTGTTCGTGCAGTAAAGTGTTGCCAACGAAATAAAAAGACAGCGTGATCGCTGACAGTTCAAGGTCATTAAAAATGGGGCGCTACGCGAAAGAACAAAACGACAAAATTATCGCATTTGGGGTTCAGAAAATCCAAAAGTGATGGTTGAGAAACAAATGCATCCACAACGTGTCACTGTTGCAGATTTTGGGCTGAAGATCATGGCACCATTCTCCTTGGTCGCTATCGCGACACGATAAACCAATTTTTTTTGTGCCTAAATGCAAGATGTGGATGTAGACGACACGTGGTTTCAACAAGACGCTGCCATATGCCATACAGCCCGAGAAACAATTCAATTACTGCATGAGTCATTTCCCGGTCGTGTAATTTCCCGTTTTGGTAATCACAATTGGCCACCAATATAATACGATTTTAAGCTGTTGGACTTTTTTATTTGGGGTTCTTTGAAGTTTAAGGTTTACACCAACAAGCCCACGTCCACCCACGTCTTGAAGGAGGAAATTGTACACGCAAAAAATTTCTTGTTTCAAATGTACAACATTTGATTTGAATCGCTTATATACCGGGTGTCCAAAAAGTCGGGAAACACCTGAATGATTTCCCAGGTAAATTATTTTTGAAAAATGTTAAGGTCGTTCTTGTAGTAACTTTTGACGAGGAATTCAATGGTGACCTTGGATTTGACCTTGGCGATAACCTTGAAGGTTATTTCAAAGTCACCTTCATTTTTTTAAATGGAAACCCCCTTTTTCGACGTCTGCAATCGAAAGAGCGGGAAATTTTACTTCCAAAAACTCCAAGGTCATAAGTCAGAGTTGACCTTGAAGGTCATTCAAAGGTTATTTAAATTTGAGGGCTGGATATCTCCGTAGGGCGCAGTTGATGAAAATAGTACAAAACTCACTTTAGTTATTTTGTTTAATTGCAATTAGTGGTGACCTCACACTCGACCTTCTTGGTGTTCTTCAAGGTCACTTCAAGGTCGGTTTGTGACATATTGATGGTCCTCATCTTGATATCTTTAGAACGAACCAGCTGCTTTAGTGTCCTTACTCATAAGAAGATGGGTATACACAGAGCGTAAGTGGCTCCATCGATCGTGCTACTTCTCACTTTGAACCTGACGTGATGGAGCTTAAATAACCTTGGATTTGTGTTCAGTGACCTCAAAAACATTCAGACGATTTTTTTCAGATTTTTCAGACTGATTTCTATACAAAATGCTTCATGAATGACCTTGAAATGACCTTGAATTACCTCTAGGGTGTATTGTAGGGGTAAACAAACCTCGGATTTGGGTTTAGTGACCTCTAAAATATAAGCATGAATTTTTTCAGATTTTTTTGGAGGTCATTTCTTGATTTGACCTTCAAATCACCTTGAACCTGAAGTGATGGAGCTTAACCGACATCGGATTCATGATCAGCGACCCAAAAAAACCCTTTTATACCATAGTCACTTCTGAAGATTGTCCCTACATCAAATGTTGACCTGTGTTATAATTAGAAAAAAGCGAGGAATGGAAAAAAACGATAAGAAAAAAAACAAATGTTTAGTTTATGTAACAATCATTTTTTTTACATACTCCTTTGAAAAATATCCTAAAAATGCGTAGAGATATCTTTTGTCGGGTAATGAAAGAGAGTTACAAGAAAATGTCAGTGCCGTGCACATTATTTTTTAAAATAATCGTATACTGCTGTCTACACGCACGTCCCTGGTGAGATGAATAAATTTTGATTCACACAAAACTTGCCCTCTAATAAGGCAGTCTGACTGTTTAAAGTTTGAGAAAATGAAATTAATTTTTACTTTCTTTTTATTTCAACTGTAACTCGTTAAAATTCCGTCAAATAAGGTTGGCTACACATTTATGAATGAGATTGTCAATTATTACGCAAACTTTGACAGCAGTCTACTTGACTTTAAATCGCAATTTCCATGTTTGTCGCTACTCAAAACCGAAAAATAAGTTGTCTAAGATTTATTAAAATAATAGAAAACGTCCTAAAACTTTCGTGTTTACCATTTCTCTCGACAGAGATACAGTACGAGGTGGGGAGGATGTTATGCGAATGACTTGGTGCATACAGCAAAGCGGTATTTATAATTCGGCACTTAAAAAAATCTAGAGGCGACATTTCCGCCAAAAAAATACACATTTTCTGTGTTTAGGACGGCAGTTTCCCGAAAACCTTCGGCCACCCTTTCCTATCAGCTCAGTGCAAACTCAGCACCGGCCTTATCTGCAGCAGAGGTCTAAAGGACACCATATATAAGAAAAGTCCTCCCGACTGACGGTCAGTTGCTGTGCGACAATGGGTCGAAGAGGTCCGTTACGGTTGGGCCTGGCCCTTGCAGTTGTTTTAGTGGCTCAAGCTGTGACTGGACAAGGTGAGTGGACCCGTCTTTCTTTTTTTATTTTTCGAAAATAAAATTACGACGGCCGGAGGACCGCCCGCCGGCTTAAAGAACGCGAAAGTCCGACATGTAAATCGTTTCGACGAAAAAAAAAAAGTTTTTCCGCCTCGACAGGTACCCCGGGCGGTCGAAATATATTCGCCGCGCTTTAGGGGTACATTTTCTGATGTGTATCGAAATTACGTCTCACAATCAGTGACGGTGGAACGCTCGGTATATACGGGGTGATTTGTTTGCGGGGTCCCGAAACTGTAATCGTTCCAAAACGAGTTTAAAAATTTATGTCTTGCATTTTTTGCTTTGTTATAAAGATATAAAGCCATTCAAATAAATTCAATTTTTTTTCTAAGGAAAATCTTATCAATTGAAGTCAGTCAGTTTTCTTTGATATAAAAAATTTAGGCGCTTTTTTGTTGACAAATATGTTTGAGTTTATTTGAATTGTCTTTATAATAGAGAAAATAAAGGTACAAATTCAGTTATTTCAAAAAAAATGCGCTTTTGTCTTTAGTTTCAACTTTCATAAATCGGTAGAAAAATGGATTTTTTTTTATACCTGAAAGTTTAAATTTTCTAATATTTATGGTTATTAAATTATTCAAAAAGAAATGAAACAAACTGGATTCCAGTGACCTATGAAAGAGAAAACAAAAGCTACTACTTTGTGTCCCTTTTAGATGAAACAGAAAAAAATAGAGGCTCTTTAGTTTCCTTTTCATATTTATCCTATTTGATCTACCGCGTGATATTTGATTTGGATGTAAAACAAATAGCGGCTAAAACACTACATAGGTAGAGAAAAAAGTTATATTCGTGTTTTAAGTATGACTTTTTACAAGAAAATACATTTAAAAAACTTTTATGTTATAACTTGAAAACGTAAAGTGCACACCAACAATTTGATCATACTGTCCTATTAACATTGCAAAAACCTGAAACTTTGTAATTTATTTTTTTTTTGTAAAATAAATAGCAACTGAGCTACATGCATCTGAAGGAATTTTCCATGACCTTTTTTCAAAAAATAAGAGTAACATTTAATAAGGATCATAAAACTGCACATCTTTCCTCATTTAAGCTTTTTTTGTATCTTTGCTACTTTCCCAGATCCCTACACTAAACATCGAAAAAAACTCACCCTGTATACAGGGGGTTCCGCATAAGAACCAATACAGAACAGGGGCATAAGAAAAGTTTTAGAATTAAATTCCCCATAAAATAAAGTTATAAATTGTTAAGTCCGTCAACGCCTTAAAAACTTCTTTCACATTTTAATGGTGCATCATCCCTTATCAACCCTTTAAATTGCTTCAATTGAACTCTACTTACTGTCGATTAATGGCTCTTGGTACACTCACACCGTGCACCAAATTTGGCTTTGCTAAGTTCTTATTTTCAAAAAGGGCAAAGGTTTTTCTAGTTTTAAATCATTTCAATGATATTTCAGATTAAAAAAATGTGTAAAAATATTTACATACTCAAAAAGTTCTAGTTACAACAGATTACCTATTTGGAAAATTACTACATTCCTGAAAAGCGCGGAAAATTTGGTTTAAAAACCAGCAATTGATTGTGTGTTTGATTTATTGTTACTATTTATTTTTTATTTATTTTTTTATTTAAACTTTGCAGCTTTTGTACAATTCCTGAACATAATATGCATAGCTTCTGAAAACAGCACAAAGTTCACTTTATCGTTCTCGAAGAAAACTCTTCTGCTGAAGTTGTGTGATATCTTGTATGCCTAAAATATTTTCTAGACTCCGACCAATTTCTAATTCCTTTTTAAATATCCATCGTTAACGATATCACCAAGTGCATTTCGTTTCTATTTAGCTGCAGACCTTGACCCCTGGGTCCAATCGTTTGAAAAATGCAAAGACTTTGACCCTGCCTTTATCAGAAACAACCAAGACAAAAGCTTTATTTCTCAACACCAATCCTATATCCGTTAATTACATATTATCAGTCCTACCAACAGGACAAGCCGTTATTATAATCTTTATAAAAGTGGCGAAAAATGTCTGTAAGCTCCACAGAAAAATAAATCTGGTCTACCACCATTGTCGAGTCATCTCGAGTCTTTTAATTAAGCGAAAATTGTTGACTCCTCGTAAGATAAGTGTTAAAAATAAAGGAGATAAAGCGATTGTAAATAAATTGTTAATAAACAAAAACGACGTGAACTTGTGATCCTTAGAAACTATGAACTTTTAGATAAGGACGCGTTGCGATATCGCTTATTTACTCAGCTCAGGCTTTTTCCAAATAAACATGCAAAATCGTGTAAAATAACATAAAAAAAAACATATCACAACTCGTTTCGGTGGTGTACAATCACTTTTACCATGTCGTCATCATTCGAAAATATATGGAGCAATAACACGTCGACTTCGGAGCTGTATTTCGAGATGCCCCGCTGATATCTCCGTTATCTTAAGAGATACAAGGTTTTTCTTAGGATTCAGCGCATTTTTCTGATTACGATTTTATAAGACATCGCTAGCTTCTTAGTTTTTGCTGAAATATGAAATTATACACTTCTACAATGAAAATTTAACCGAGTTTCACTCAGAAAAAGACGATATCTCCTGGTGGGGCTACGCCTTGTTTGACGTTTTTTGTATCTCTCGAGATAACCGAGATCCGAGGGCGCGGCTCGAAAAACGGACACTCTGTACGCGCCAAGCAACTTCAACGTGACGGTTATTAGCATCCGATGTTTAACATCGACCACAGAGATTATTCGGAGAAAAACTTATGAATGAAAGATTTTTCGGCGAGATTCGGTGTAAGATATTTTATTTCTATTTTTAACGACACACAGGAACGTAAAAACAAAACGAAATCGGACAAGTCATTTTCACGATGATCTTGCACACTCCGTCTCATCTCTGACCTTGATAACCTGAGAAAAGGTCGTAGTCCGTTTCTAGGAACGTAGGGGAACGCTATCGCGATTTTTTTTCAGGCCTTATCGCGGATTATGCAAAAATATACCGACCGCGAAGTATTAAGTAACGAGAATTAAAAAAAAGATATAAACGTCGATAATATGATACCGAACACCAACTACTTTTGTTTTCTCGCTGTTTTTTTTTTAATTGTTTTGAGAGACAAACGTGCGGGGAATGCTAGCGATCGGTTTTCTAGGAAGGAATCATTGGACGGATGGTTAAGGACTTGGACAACTGTCGGCGACAGTTGTCACAATTCTACTTTTTACCGTCATTGTCTTCTAGGCCGGTAGCGATAACAAACAATCTCCTGTGAAAAAGCGCAAAGTCCATTATCCACTTGACGTAATTGAAATAATGAATGTCATTTCCCGGGTCTTTTAATTGGACAGAGCCGGCCTTAGGGGGGACTCGACAGGGGCGGTTCACGGGGGTATATCTAATTAAAATGAAAAAATCAGTTCGAATAGAAATTTTCACAAATTTGAACAAATAATTTCAATGCGTTTTAACTAGTGCCTATAAATTGTGTGATAACAAATTCTAAAACGTAGCGTGATTTCATATAAAGCCACTTTCACTTGTTTTAAAGCGACCCTGCAAAATCCGTATTTATTGTGCGATTTCCAACGGATTTTTTTTAAGATGTAGAGCCTCATGAAGTGTGCTTTGTGAAGGAATAATTCTAATATTTCATATAGCGATTTTTTGAGAAAAAATATATTTACGCCACTGGATTCACGACCCCCCAAAACGGGCTAATACCAAATTTTATCAAAAAATTTTAAATAACAACAATTTTGTGGCCAAATCAAAAATTGACAAGTCTTTACTTTTTTTTTCATTAATTTATTGTTGATATCAAGTTGTTCATGAAGCAAAACAGAAACAAAAAGTGAAATTAATTAAACTAGTATTATAATAATTATTACTTAATAATCTTAGTTTTGACAAATTTAAAAATAAAATAATGAAACTGAAGCCAACAAAAGTTAAATAATTATATTCATATCACTTCTCAATCAATCCACCATTCAATTATATGCACTTTTCAATTCTTTTACGTACGTTGGTAATTACTTTTTGTATTTGGTTTGGGGTAGCACATCGTTCGGTACAGAATTATAAACTTTTTGTTTCAATAAACGCCAAAGAAAAAAATCTAATGGCCTCAAGTCCGGGGATCTCGGCGGCCATTCAATTAAAGGACTATTTCGTCCTATCCAACAATTCTCAAAAAGTTCGTTTAACCATTAACCACCACCGCAGCAGCGTTATGAATCTGACTACCATCTAATCGAAGCTTCAGATTAAGGAGATTTCTTAAAGGCAAATCATTTATTGTGTTAAAAAATTTAAAATAAATATTCGCATCAAATTGCTGTCAAAAAGGAAAGAGCCAATTATTCTATTATTTAGTATTCCACACCATACGTTAACTTTTTGCGAATACTGCAACTCTGCGTTTATAGTCAATTCTGGATTCTCACCCGACCAATGACAATTTTGGGACGAAACTACCCCATTTGTAGTAAATGTAGCCTCATCACTACATAAAATTTCACTTAAAAATTTAGGATTGTTTAAATATTCTTCCTGTAGCCAATAACAATATTTCAAACGTCTTCATCTTCGAATTCCAAAGTATGGATAACTTTGGAGTAACTTTGACCTTAAGATTATCTGGAAGCGTAGTTTACATTTTTAAAATATTTGTCTTCTCTATTTTCCAACAATTGTGTTACGGTCCTGAACAAGATCGGGAAGGAACATTGTTGTAGGTGCGTAATCATGAAAAACGCATCTTATTTTACATTGCAAAATGGGATGTTAGTCCTTTCTGACAAATTATTTCTGATTGCAGTTCAATTGTACAGAATTTCTACTTTTACTGCTTATTCTACGGTCACAGTAGCAAATATTAATAGAATGCAGTCTCACAAAGAACACGTTACACTTTGTACGTTAGTTTTGAGAGTACAATCCAATTTCGCAAAACAACTTTTCATTTTAATATAAATATAAATAAATAGTTAATTGATTTCCTCATTTAAAATCTCTAGTGAGAGTCTAGATTTGATTTTGGTCGCTAAAAACCAACCTGAAAAACATCTGCAAACTGCAACTGTTGGACAAAAAAATAATTTGATTGGATCAGGTCATCATTGTATTGCCACACATTGAATATTCCATTTTTTCACTTTTCTTCTCTTGATGAGACACTCCAAGCGTATTTATTCAATGGAACCTTTTTCTCCAACAGACGCATGTCGATCAGGATGCAAAGGAGCATCGCAAGTCTTCAAATACTCGGTAGGCACGACGTACAAGTACCTCTATGATGGCAAAATCGACATCACCCTCTCCTCAGCCGAAGGACAAACGACCAGCACTGAAGTCAAGGCCGTGGTACTACTGACGCAACATGCGGATTGCAATCTGGTCCTACGACTTCAAAACGTCCAAATATTGGGCGCTAACGGAAAGGTAAGCCCTTGGGAATAAAACCCAAGCGATGCCGTTATAACGTTAATACTTTTTCCAGAAATTCGGACAGATCCCAGACATCGAAAAGCCCGTACGGCTAAATTTCCACGACGGACACGTGGAGGACAGCATCTGCGTGGAGCCGGGCGACAACCAAAACTCCATCAACGTGAAACGAGCCATCGCTTCGTTGTTCCAAGTCAACCTGAAGAACAGCTACGAAACCGACGTGTTCGGCCTGTGCCCCACGGAGATCGCCCAGCAGAAAGAAGGCAACGTCCTGCTGATCCAGAAGAGCAAGGACCTGAACAAGTGCGCCTACAGGGAAACCCTGAGACAAGACTTCTTCTCCACGGTCTTCAATTTGAACAGCGAGATCAAATCCAGTCCCATCCTAGACGGAGACTACAAGGCAAAGATCAGGGTGAAGAACGGCCTCGTCGAACAGGCCAACGTGGTGGAGAACTACCTATACAAGCCCTTCTCCGTGGGCAAGAACGGCGCCAAGGCCGAGGTGATCTCCACACTCCGATTAACCGGCACCTCCAAAGACAATCCGAGGACGCAATGCAGCCAACCTAGGTCCATCATCTTCGAGAGCCCCCACGAGGTGGTGGCGCAGACCAGCAACGTCAACAGCATCTTGACCGCCGTTAGAGACGTCGCCAAGACGATAGACGTAGTGGTCGGAGAACAAACGGCTAAGGAATTCGTCACTCTAATCAAAACGATCAGGGCTAGCAAGAAAGACGACCTGCTGACGGTCTACAACCAAGTTAAGTCCGGTGCCGGTATCAACGGCGGCAAGAAGATCTTCCTGGACGCCCTACTCGAAGCGGGCTCGGGAGAGAGCATCGAAGTAGCTATTACCTTGCTGAGGAACAACGAATTGGGAGAAGTGGAGGCGAAATTAGTATATATAGGCTTGTCTCTGGTGCGTCACGCCACCGAATCCTCCCTCAATGCTGCCACAGTAAGTAATATTCACTATATCTAGAGTATCTAGGCGGTTTTAACATCACGTATGTGATTTTATCACAACACCTTACAGGAGTTTAGTAAAATAGCATACAATGTTGCTTATTTCAGACCTTGCTGAACCAACGCGACCTGCCTTACGAAGCCTACCTGGGCGTCGGCAATCTGGCCGGTAGATACTGCAGCCAGCATTCCTGCAAGAACGTGGATGCCGTCAATAAGTTGACCCAGAAACTCGTGCAGAAACTGGGCAACGGCAGACCTAGCAACCGCCAGGAAGAACACCAGATAATATACGCGCTGAAGGCACTGGGCAATTTCCGTTACCTTAGCGATTCCTTCCTGCAGAAGATCATCGCCATAGCTCAGGACAAGAACGCTCCCAACAGGCTGAGGGTGGCCGCGCTAGAAACCTACCTGGCCGATCCCTGCAAGGACAAGTTGAGGACCAGCGCCGTACACATTCTCCAGGACATCCAACAAGACTCCGAGGTGAGAATCAAGGCCTATTTGGCGGCTGCGCAGTGTCCCAACGCTCAAGTCGCCACCGCGGTTAAAACCGTCCTAGAAAAAGAACCCAGCTATCAAGGTGAGCACGAAGAAATTCGATTTGTTCCTATTGTTACTAATCGTCGTTTTCAGTCGGTGGTTTCATCGTGTCCCACATCCGCAACATAAGATCCTCCGCTAACCCAGACAAGGAACAAGCCAGGCAGTACCTAGGCTTCAGCATCCCCAAGAAGTTCCCCGTCGATTTCAGGAAGTGGTCGTACAACGGTGAGTTCTCCTACGCCATCGACACCCTAGGAATCGCCGCGTCCACCGAGGCCAACATCATCTACTCCCAAGACTCCTTCCTACCCAGATCCACGAGTCTGAACCTGACCGCCGAAGTATTCGGACACACCTTCAACTTCCTCCAGATCCAAACGAGACAGGAGAACCTAGACAAACTAGTGGAGCACTACTTCGGGCCTAAAGGCTTATTGAAGACGTCGTCCTTGGGCGAACTGCTAAAGTCCAATACTCAATACGCCAACTCCGTTATCGAACACTTGAAACAGAAATTGGAGAGCACGTTGAGAGCCAGAAGGGACGTGTCCAGAGCGGAGATAGAGAATATTGGAAAAGCCGTTCAGATCAAGGAGAACGAGCTCAACAAGGACTTGGATTTAGATATAAGCGTCAAAGCTTTCGGTTCCGAGATAATCTTCACCAACCTGAACATCTACCAAACAGGACTGACGCCGGAAAAGGTGGTCGACAAGCTGATCGCGGACTTCGCCAACGGTTTGGACAAACTCAGACAATTCGATGTAAGTACATATTTCATTGCAAGCTCTCCATCTTAAATACCGAAAGGGGCTTTATAAATGACGTCGGTTACATATTTAAATACATTTCGATTTCTTCAATTTGAAACGTCTTTTTTTGCTATTCCAATCTAGTTTTTTAGTTAATCAACCAAATATTCTTAACAAAAGTTAGGATATTTTTCAATATTTACGTTCTNGAACAAAAAATTACTGTCACTTATTGTTATAATATACCTCAAACTAACTCATATCAAAAATTCAGGCAAGTTGACCAAAATTTCGATTTAAAGGCTTATTATTACTATTAATAGATACAAACATAAAAAATTAAAAAATAAAATAATAAAATAAAAAATTACTGACCGTATCAAAAAAAACAAACATTTAAGAGATTCACGGATGTAGATATAGTAGGTATTGTACAGGGTGTTCGCGTCTCAGGCCTATAACAGACAAACGAAAAACGACAGTAAAAATCTGTTTACGCGGTGTAAATAAAGCTAACCAAGGTCCGTTTTGCACTTCAAAAACATTTTTTCAAAATTTGAAAAACAAAAAAAATGGCGTCATCAACTTTTTTTTTCCACGCACATACCCATTTTTATGATAACTAAAATTATCTAACCACTTGTCGCCTGCTGTGATTTATTGCTCAGAAGCCCAATGCAACTGCTGTGCTCGTTTTCCTTTGGCCGCGCTCGCGTTCTTCAACTGGTCGTACACATTTCTACCACCTGCACGTTTAGTTCGACCAGACCTGTATATGGGTATGGCTAAATAAATATGGGAACAAGTTTTTCGAATATTTCAATGCCGAGTTGCCGCTTAGCGACCGAGCCTGGTACATAGCTTGAAATTATAGGTTCTTCAATTGACTTCGGAAAAACTATAACATCGTTACACACTGATTTTGAAATTCCTTTCCCTTTTCTTAATGAAAATGCATTTTCGTTAGCACGCTAAATTCGTTCTAATCTGGCAAATATTTTTGGGTTAAAATCAGAAAAATCATTTAAAAAATTGCAAAAAATGCTAGTTTATTTGTCAATTTTTTTCAGACACTTTAATACCTAGGATTTTCATACTTTTGATATGATAATTAAATTTTTTAATTTGCGAGACATCGATTTAAAAAAAAATCATCTAAATTGGTCCATTAGAAGCTGACATAAGTGAAATTTTTCCGAGCGTCGCAGTTTTGAACTCGAGAATTCAGATCGGAGTAGCTGTGTGTTTGCTCCCTCCACCACTGATACCTCATTGATTTCACGCGGTCTTNTCTTAACAAAAGTTAGGATATTTTTCAATATTTACGTTCTTTTTCAAAGCTAAAGCAGTTTTCAGCTTGAAGTAGTAGTACCAAAGTGAAGAAGATTTTCTGTTTTTAGTATTTTCATTGATGCCAAGTCGTTTTTTTTTTCACGTACAACATTGCGTGAAACTGTTATATTCTTTTTCTTACATTGCCCTAGACTTTAAAGGCAGTAAATCTTCTGTTGCTTCTTTCATTATTTCTGAAATTGCCCCTTCAGAATCGCCCGAATCCATTTTTTTTTTTAATTACGCACAAGACACATTAATAGATACAAACAATAAAAAATTAAAAAATAAAATAATACAAAAAAAATGAAATAAAAAATTACTGACTGTATCAAAAGGTTATAATGGGGTAACATTTTTAAATGGTCACTTTTAAAAAACAAAGATTGTACAGGGTGTCCCAAAGTTCGTGTCTCAGGCCCATAACAGACAATCGAAAAACGACAGTAAAAATCTGCTTAGGTGGCGTGAATAGGGACTCACTAAGGTCCGTCTTGCACCTGAAAAACATTTTTTCAAAACTCGGAAAACAAAAAATTGCCTTCATCAATTATCTATTTTTTATGAACATTTTTTGTGCAGAATTTTTTTCTCTATCTCTTCATAAAAAGTTACAATATCAAACATACAAAAATATATTCTATTGTATTGGAACTAGTAATGACTTAATCAACATTACTGTGAAAAACAATCTCTGTAACTTCTGTCACAAATTTGTTTACATATTAGTTGCTATGTTCTTCTTAAAAAAGGTTATTCCACGAAGAAAAATAGAACAATACACATAATGACAGTTAAATAGGATAACCAAATATAGAAAATATTAAACAATTGTAATTGTAACTAATAAATATAACAATAACTAATAACAAAACACAAAACAAAATATAAAATTATGCACAGAGCTTCTTTTTAAATTTAATGCAAAAGTGGCCTGTCGTATAAAATTTCTAGGATTTTCTTCAAAATATTGTAATAACCCTAGCTGCGGTATAGTCCTTCCGAAGTTAGTTGAATATGCAAAAAAACGTCTGGTAATAAAATTTAATGAATTTCATAGGCGTACCTAAAACAATGTTCTACTAAAGGTAAAAAATTATAATAATTTGTATATAATGTGTAGAAAATTTCTATTATGTTCATTTGGCCAACAACATATTTTAATTATTCATGTCCACAAACAATTTTATTATATTGGTGGTAAATTTTGTTTTGTTCCGTTTCAAAAGGTCTCCATCGATTTAAAAAAAAATCATCTAAATTGGTCCATTAGAAGCTGACATAAGTGAAATTTTTCCGAGCGTCGCAGTTTTGAACTCGAGAATTCAGATCGGAGTAGCTGTGTGTTTGCTCCCTTCACCACTGATACCTCATTGATTTCACGCGGTCTTGAATATCTTTGAGTGACATTTTAAATGGGACGCCCGTGATTGCAAATTTTGAAAATTTATATCTAGAAAGTACTCGGAATGACAAACCTATTAGTTCAAAAAACAGCCCTTATACCCTTATAGTTTTGCTGTAAATAAGGGTTAACTTTAACGGGCTATAACTCCGAAAATAATGGGCGGATCATCAGGTTTTTTTTTAAATACTCGTCTTTCCGAGTACTTTCAAACTATATTTTAAAATTAAAAAAAAATTAAAAAAACATTAAATTATTGCAATTGTTTATAAGCATGAAAATTGCGAAAATGTTTAAACAATCACCACGGCTCACCTAAGCGTCCGATTTGAATTTTTCAAAAACCATTTTAAAGCTTGAGAGATCTTCTTTTTGTGGTGAAATTTTCAAGTATTCAAAGGCTTTGGATTTTTAGAAATTTGATTTTGAAATTTTTTTAATTTAAAAAAAATTAAACAATTATGTAAAAACTATAGAACCGAATTGGATGAAATTTGGTGTGACGATTCTATGCATTAAGACGTTTAATTGGGAAAAGTATGAAGATCCTAGGTATTATTGAAGTGTCTGAAAAAAATTGACAAATAAACTAGCAATTTTTACAATTTTTTAAATGGTTTTTCCGATTTTTGTAATAACATGAATTATTTTTTTGAATTGTAACTAACTCTATCTTGTTCAAAATTTAATTATAAAACTTTTTTCCTCTTCCATTTTTGTCTAAAATGAATAGTTGCTAAGTTGTCGACGAGAAATCCAAGAAAAAAATGATTTTTTTCAGCTATTTTTTTTATACTTTTTCGCTTTTTTAAGCCCGCGTTTTTTTATTAGCATAGAAAAATTATCATTTCTGATGTTATTTAGAAGCCGTCAAAGCAAAAATCTCCGATCATATGCGTTTTACCCAAGTATTCCCTTTTTAAAACAGATATCGCCTGGACTATATGTAAACAGACTTGTGACAGCAGTTTCAGCCATTGTTTTCACAGCAATATTGATTAAATTGTGATTAGTTCCGATACAATAGAATACCTACATTTTTGGATAATGTTTGTTATTGTAACTTTTTAAGGAGAAGAGATAGAGAAAAAATTTCTGCACAAAAAATGTTAATAAAAAATTGAAAATTTCAGTTATAGAAAAAAAGTTGATGACGTAATTTTTTTTTATTTTCCGAAATTTGAAAAAATGTTTTTGCAAGTGCAAAACGGGCCTTAGGGAGTCTCGATTCACGCCATCTAAACAGATTTTTACTTTCGTTTTTCGTTTGTCTGTTATGGGACCGAGACGCGAACTTTGGTACACAATGTACATAATTAGGGCTGTCAGAACTGAGCCGCGGGACATAGGCGTACGCATTATTTATTAAAAAGCAATAAATTAAATTATCTACAAAATATATACATCTCTCGGGGTTTTCGAAATATCAGATTAATAAATTTTAAACGGAATAAACTGAAGATGCAAAAAACATACTTTGAAAACTGTCAAGTTAACTAAGCGAGCTGGAATCAAAATAACTGTTGCTGACTCTAACTGCTTTGTCCTTAGGAAACCCTCTGTGCCAGCTTCCTCTTCCTGGACGTTGAATTCGCCTATCCCACTGGTCTCGGCTTTCCCCTACGCTTGGCCGCAGAAGGAACCTCCAGCATCCAACTCAAAGCCAACGGAGGAGTGGACGTCCGCGCCTTGTACTCCGGCAAACCGTGCAACCTCCGCGTGCAACTTATCCCCAGCGCCAACATCGAGGTAGCCGCAAGACTGACCCTAGACGCTCTGGTGGTCGAGAACGGTCTCAAGACCGTCTCCACGCTCCACACCGCTACCGGAGGTGACCTGACCGTCAACTTATTCAACGGACAGGACGGAGTCGACGTGAAATTCGGCCTGCCCGTGAAGGAACAGAAAATCATATCCGCCACCCACGAGATCGTCTTCCACACGAGAGAACAGGCCGGCCGCGAGACCAACCTCCCGCTCAAATTCGCCCAATCCAAGGACTTCTCCATCTGCGCCGATCAACTGAGTCCCTTCATAGGCCTGACCTTCTGCGGCGAGATCAACGGCCCCAACCTAGCGGGAAAAGACGTTCCCGTGTTGCCTTTCCCGCTGGCGGGAGACGCCAAAGTTGCCGTGACTATTGAGAACGACGACGTCAAAGAATACCACTTCAGAAACGTCGTCAACAGGGAACGCACCTCCGGGGAAATCGTCGTCGAAACCATCGGCAAGAACGGCCAGAAGAAGGTCAGCTTCCAACTCAACGCCGAGATACACCCGGAGAGGTACATCAAGGCCACCTTCACTTCACCGGTCAAGACCGCCACAGCGGAAGCCCGCATCACTACTAACGCCCACGAGAAGTCGCTCTCCCTCAAAGCAGGCTACGATCAGACCTTGCTCTCCGGAAAAATCGGTGTTGCTATTTCCGGATCGCCCAACAGAGCCGTGTACAGGCCAATCTTGGAATACCAGAAACCGGGCAAAGGGCAACAGCTGCCTGTGAACGTGCAGGGCCAGATCATCGTGGAACAACAAGGGCCCAATCAGAAGTACATCTTCGACAACGTGAGGATCATCTTACCCGACAGGAGTACTTACAGCGTCCAAGGAAACATCGGCAACGACGGACACGACTTCTTCACCGACCTGACCGTCTCGAACGGCCAACAGTCGGGATCGCTAACAGGTAATTGGTTAACTCTTTATATTACCGCGCATACTAACATAATATTAATATTTTTAGGAAGGCTACATGCCGACCCCAACCTCCTCAAATACAACGCCGAGGTGAAGAACACCGTCAACCCCAACGCTAACTTCCACATCAAGGGCGAGCTGAAAAGGGAGCCCGAGAAGCTCTCCAGCTACTTCCAGGTGATCCACGGCGCCGATCTGGGTTCCAAGACCAACATCATCACCCTGACGAACGTTATCAGGCACTACAAGAACCCCAGGGATTTCCGCATCGGAACCGAGAATAAACTGACTTATCCTCTGGTGGGCATAGACAGCAAGTTCGAGTATGAACAAACCGTCAACACCTTGGAGTATGACCTAGAAGTCCAGTACAACGACATCAAGTTGGGTTCCGAGCTAGACGTCAAAATCAACGAAAAGAAAGACGGCGACTTCAGCATAGAATTCGAACTGTACGGCCTGGACAACAAGGTAGAATTCAAGTCGGAGAGGGAAGTGAACGGGGACGAAAGCAAGATCAGCAACGAAGTGGAAGTGAACGGAAAAAAACTGGAAGTTAAAGGAACGATACGTCACCACATCAAGCCGTCCATCGTCGACGTTGGTGCCGACTTAACCGTCGTGCTACCCACCCACAACACCCCCTTCAAAGTCGACAGCGGCCTCAAGTATAACCCCAGCGAGCTGGACGCCCACCATAAGGTCACGTCCGGAAGTACCGTCGTCGTAGACGCTTTCCTGAAGGCCAATAAAGCGGGCAACGCCAACGGTAACGTCAAAGTCAACATCAAGAATCTGCTAGTGGTGAACGGTCACTTGAAGGCGAACAAAGGTAGCGGCAGCGGAGAGGTCCTCATCGACGCGCAGAACTTTAAGAAGCAAGTCAAGATAGATTCCACCTTCCAGATCCAACCTCCGTCGGTGTACAACGTAATCTTGAACATCTATCCCTCCTACGCCACAGATAAAAACCAGAAGATCCACTATTCGACGAACAACAAAATCACAACTTCCAATCTAGATTCGAAGAACATTTTGGACATCCTCGGCAAGAAATTGGAATTCAACGTCAAGGGATCCAAGACCGGAGACGACAACACGGGAAAGATCAACGGGGAGTTCGAAGTCACCTTGCCGAACGACCAGTACTTGCTGGGGAAGGTTAACAGCGATCGAAGACTAGCCAACGATCTGCTCAACGGCCACGCCCAAAGCAGTTTGGAATACAGGAGGAACAAGAACGCGCCTGGTCGCAAAGTGAGCCTCAAGTCGACCTACAGAAACACCAACATCAAGGAGGGACTGTACGACATCGAATATAACTTGGCTGCCGATGATAGCAACGGCAAAAACATCAACGGCGATTTCGCTTTCAAGGTCTCCAAAGAAGGCGTGGCCAGGAATGTAGCAATCAAGGTAAGAATATTAACTCAGAATTGGATAATGTACCCTTTGCTACTTCCCCTTGAACTGTTTCCAGAACAAAATCTACGGTTCCATCATCAGCAACCCATTAGAGACCAGCCTAACTACCCATTGCAATGAAGGAGCGGGCAAGTATGAAGCGCAGGCCTCATACGGTCAAAATGCGGCCTTGAAAGTAACTGGTAAGCAATCGGCGACTTTTTCCGTTACACCAGAATTATTTTTTTGGATCTCTCCAGGTAAATACAACGTACCCGAGGCGGACAGTTCCCCACTTTCCGGTGAAATTCAAATCCAACTCACAAGTCCGAGCAACAAATTGAAAACTCTACAAGTTGGAGTTTCTGGTTCGTTAGTTAAGCCCCAGTCGCCTTCGGACTACCTCCAGTTAGAAGGATCCGCTTCGCTTTTCGCGGATGACGATGGGGTGAGTATTTTACTATTAACCCATGTTTTTACATTCCGTATTGTTATTCGCTTATCGATTTCTTTTTTCAGTCGGAGCCGAACGCGATTGTAGATTTCAAAGGACAGGGCCACGTCAGGACTAGCGACAAAGACGGAGAGATAAAGGTAAGTTCGTCACTTCAAAAGTCAAGCGGATTCGCTACTATTATCGGCGTTTTACAGGGAACCGTTAACTATGGTAAACACGAACCCATCTCCGCCGTGGCGGGATACAGCAGCGCAGAGAACGGAAACCAGAAACGCCTCAACGGAAACGTGGCGGTACAGTACGGCCAGGGCAAAAACCTCAAAATCGACGCCTCGTTGGCCAAAACTGGAGAACACCGATACGTGTTGGAAGCCCAAGTGAACACCCCCTCAGAGAACTACAAGAACACCAAAATCATCGTTCAGACGCAGCGAGACGAGGACAGCAAACACGTCACCAGCAACGTCCAGGTGATCAGCGACGGTAAGACCTGGACTTTAGACACGGAACTACTATCTTCGGAGTTGTCCCCCTTGGTCGACCTCAAATTGAAGTGCCCCGACGGCAAGCTCAGCCGATTCTACGTCAAGGGCAATAAGGTGAGCGATGTGGAGTTCGGAGGTGAACTGAAGGTCATCCACGAGAGCAAGAACTTCCTACTCGAAGGAGACGTAGACGCTAATCTCGCAAACATCGACCAGTTCTTCATCAAGGCCAACCTTAACTCGCCCAACCTCAACCTCAACAAGATCGTCTTCGAGGCACACAACAAACCGGGAAAAACTGGACGCCGAATCATCGTCACGGCTAAATCCGCTGGTAAAAATCTGTTATCGGGAAGCACGAGTTACCAGACGAGAGAGGATCAAGGGAAATACGTAGTGGAAGGGTCGGGATCCTTCAAAGTAAGGGAGGAAACTCAAACTGCCCACTTTAAGTACATCGCGCAACGCCTGAACGAGCAGCAGCACGGAGAACAAGGCATTGAAATCAACTTCGACGCCGGATTGGGCAGCAGGGCTATAGATGCGGAATTCAAAGTCAGCAACAAGAACAGACAATTCAGGGTACAGGGCTCCTACTGCGAGGCCAAGAAAGAGTGCGCCCACATCGAAGTGGACTCCAAAATCAACTCCAACGGTAAGGCAACCGTAAATAAATATGTTAACCAGTAAATAACTAAATACATTTTTCAGACGTGCAGTCCTACAACCAGGAGCTGGAGATCAACGTGGACCTGCGCAAACTCGGTCTATCCCACGAGTTCGGACTGAAAACCGTAACCAACAGAAACGGCTACGTCCTAGACCATACCGTAGACGTACATTTCCAAAGCCAGGAGAACAACAAGTACCAGTACAGCCTCTACATCCACCCAACGCAAGCCGGAGTTTCCTTCACCACACCCAAGAGGATCATTGCATTGGAGAGCCACGTGAGCATCCCCAACGACGTTAAGCAGGGCGGAAAAGTTTCCGGAGAGATCGGTTTCTACTTGGACAAAAGGAATCAACCCAACAAAAAGACGGCGGTCAGTGGCTGGTTGGTCCTCGACGTCCAGAGGTATTCCGTGGACGGAGACGCCAAACTCACCCATCCAGGACTTCAAAGGGTAAGTGATCACGGTTTGGTTCCACTAAACGATATCAAGACCTGAATCTTTTTTCAGCCCTTATCAATCTCAATAAAGACTACCAATAATAGAGGTCAGTCTGGAGGAGACGTATTAATAGTCTCAGAAATCGACGTATTCGCCCATCCTACCCAGAAAATCGTTTCTACCCTGAAACTGGCTGGCACTGTCAATTCCCAAGGCAGCTCTTCCGTAAGCACTGTTGCGACTATCAAGAGTCAAGGTTTGGGCATCGACATCCAATACACAGAAGAAGCGAGCGTAGACCGAAACACCTACTCCGCAGAGTATCTGCTGCTTCTGAAATACCGCGTGGGCAACTCCAACTACCACAACGAATTCTCCGTCAAGGGAGGCAAGACGCAACTGGACGTGCTGCTCAGGCTGCTCAACGTGGACCTGCTCAGGGCATCTAACAGGCTCAACCTCAACAAGGAAGAACAGATCATCGATTCCGAAGTGTCCTCCTATGACAACAACCCTCTAGTGTCTCGCCTCGAAATAAAAAATTTCAACACCTTCAAGTACACCTTAGGATTCAAGAGTAAGTAAAACAGATCTATATCGCTACTAGCAAAACTTAACCTTTCAATGTTCACTTGCAGACACCCCCAGGAACAAGATCCAGTTCAACGGTGGCTTGATTCCTGGCCAAATAGCCGACGTACGCTCCGATCACGTCACGGGCAGCGGAAAAATCAATCTATTCCACGCCACTTTGAAGCTAGACGACGCCAACTTCTTCAAACCCGACTACAGCATCAATTCCAACGAAATCGAAAACGTCCTCGACCAAGGCAAGAACAAGTTCTCCACGTACATAAACGGCCTGCAGAACGTCGGCAAGGAATGGTCCAACGACATCCGCAAGGAGGTAACTCAGATCGGAGAGCTGTCCAAACGCGCCGCCCCCAATCTGAAACCCCTTAAGGACTACTACACATCCGAACTGCAAAAGATCAAGAACGAGATCTTATCCGACAAGTCCGTAAAAGAACTAGGCGAACTCTTGAAGAACATCTTCGGGGCCATAGCTCATTCCTTGGGGGAAATCTTCTCCAAGGTCAGCGAACTGGTGGAGACCCTCGTGCATTCTCTCCAAACGACCTTCGCCCACGTCATCGAGACCATCGACAAGGAACTGATACCGCAGCTGAAGGAATTCGCAGAAAGGCTCACGGCAATCGCCGCGGATCTGTCGAAAACCGTCGTCGAGATCGTGGCGAGCTACCTGGCCACCATCAGTCAATTGATCGAGAAATACCAACCGGAAATCAAGCAGTTGGCCGCCGTATTCGGAGAACTAGGACAAGACGTCGGCAGGTTCATACAAAAGGCCTACGAACACGTCAGGATCATATTAGTGGAGCAATGGAAGATCATCTACAATGAAATCCAGGCATTGCCTGTGTTCGACGATCTTAGAGCCCAATACGATGAAGTAAGTTTCATTTTTCTTTTAAAAGAATCGTTTTTAATGTTTCTCTTACAGTTCGTGAAGAACGGCCTACCAAATGCAGATGGTATATTGAAGGGCGTTATAGAAATATCAGCAACCATCAAGGATGTCATACCCCAGGACTTCATAGTGGCCAAAGAGCTCAACGAAATCATAGACCTTACGGTGCAGTATATCCAAAAGGTAAGGATGCGTAAACGATTAACTATTCTGTAATGAGATGAACGGAATTTTGCAGAAACTCAAACAACAACCGGTGGATGACTTTGCCGTCCTCGAGAAGATCATACAAACCGACATCGCCTTGATCAAGAAACTCCTCAGCGTTTGGTCCGCTCCGTCGTACGACGTCCAAAGCGCGCCCGCGCCCGTCTCTTTAGACTTCCTGAAGAAGCTGCCCAAGCTGGTGGCCGTCAAGTTCTCTCCCATAGCGTATCTCCTTCACGAAGACGCCTCCGACCAAGTAGTAACCTTCTTGCTGTCTCTGTTGAACAACCCTAGGCAGTGGCTGCCTCCATTCCCACGTAAGACGTAAAAGCGACGATGTCATTTATATCATTGTTAATCATTATTGTTTCGCAGTGTTCGGAATAGTCGTGCAAGGACAACACATTTTCACTTTCGACGGAAAACATCTCACCTTCCCTGGTAACTGCAAGTACCTCTTGGCAAGGGACGCCGTCAACGGAAACTTCACCATCGTCGGCACTTACGCCAACGGGCTACTCTCTGCTATCACCCTGGCTGACAAACACGACTCAGTGACTCTTAAAAAGGGAGGACAAGTGCTCCTGAATAACGGTAAGTCTTGGAACATATAAAACAGAGGCCTTAGCAAATACTCTTGGAATTGGCCCTTGACAATTTTAAGAAGAAGAATTAGTGAAAACAACGTGAAGTATATTCGATTCCAAAAAATTGATCTCTACATTTTCATTCGCAGCACCTAGCGAGCTGCCCGCGCGCAAACCGGAACTAGCCGCCTACAGAGACTACCAGATGATAACCTTAACCTCCACGTCCGGCGCCACGGTCGTCTGTACCCCGGACCTAGTGGGCTGTACCGTATCCATCTCCGGTTTCTACCACGCCCAGATCAAGGGTCTGTTAGGTAACGGTAACAACGAGCCCTACGATGACTTCACTATCCCCAACGGCAAGATCGTCGCCGGCGAAGGAGAGTTCGCCAACTCCTATAAGATCGGCAACTGCGCTCCCGTCAACGTCATACCCCACGACCAGCACCAGGAGAACCCCGTCTGCACTAAACTCTTCGGATGGGAATCTCCCTTGAGGTACTGCTACCCCTTCGTGCCTACCGAGAACTTTAAGGTGGCTTGCGCCCACGGATTGGCTGCCGGAGTGAAAGATACTGAGGCAGCCATCGCCAAGGCCTACGTCGCGCTGTGCAACCACCGCAACATCCCCATCAGGGTTCCAGCTGAATTGGGTGAGTAATATGAGAGAAAATACATTTTTCAACTTAGTTGTCGCGGGTATCACTAGAATTATTATTGTCTTGTAGTGAAATGTACCAACAGCGACAAGAGTTTCAGCGTAGGGGACAAGTTCAGCGTGAAGGTGCCGGCCAAAGCCGCAGACGTAGTTCTTATAGTGGACACGGAAAAACAGAATGAGAACGTCTACACCACCCTGGTACAGCCTCTGGTGCAAGAGATCAACAAAGAACTTCACACCAAAGGAATCAAGTAAGTCTTACACCTGCGATCTAAGGAAAGTCCAGGATAAAGTCACATTTACCTTCCAGCGACGTAGAGATCCACCTCATCGCCTACGGAGGAGAGAACCAATGGCCCACCCACGTGACCGTCGGCGGCAAGCTGACCTTCAAGGGCAAAGCACCAAACCTGAAATTCTCCGAGGCTCCCAAGAGTAAGCCTCTGCCGCCGGTCCTTGGGATATCCCCAGAGTATCTACAGATCGTAGACGGCATCATTCACGACTTGCACTTGGCATTCGGTCAGAACCTGCAAGCCAGGACCTATTCCGAAGCCATCAGCTATCCCTTCAGGGTGCACGCGGTCAAATCCATCATCGTGATCAACAGCAGGCCTTGCGAAGTAGGAAAATTCTCATTGGTGCGTATAGGAATCCTTCTCGATTTCATCGAGTGCTAAAACTTACTTTGATTTCAGCTCCAGAAGTTGAGGACCCTCTTGTTCAGAAACAGCCAGATATCCTTGAACTTGTTCACTCCCCTGGAAGGCTTCTCGGTGAAGGACGTCAAGAAATCCAAAGACGTGGTGGGATTCAACGACGAGAACGTCTTCACAGTGTCTCAGGCCAAGAAGAAGCCAGAGGGTACCGCCGAACTGTACAAGGACCTGCAGTACGACGACTACTGCGCCGACTTTACCATCAAGGTAAGATATTGAGGCGGCCTTGTCGTGTAATTCCTGTAACGTTGACTCCTCTCGCAGAACCGTGGTAACGTCTTCGTGGTCGACAACTTCCTCGCCGGCAAACCCGATATCAAGAAGCAGTTCACACACATAGCTTCTCACAATATCGTGGACCAACTGGTCAACATAGAAGAAGGGTTGGACTGCGAGTGTCAACTGGTCAACCCTTACAGTGCAGAGAATTTCTGCCACGAGATCTACTCTAAAGAAAGGCCTACTGTAAGTATCAAACTGACGTTAATTGCCGACATTTGACGCTTGATTTTCTTCTTTTTTTCAGAGGAAAGGCGCGTCGAAAGGATAAACCGCTTAGCCTAGGACCTACTTCCTCCAAGACTATAAACTAAGTTATACTTTAGTGATAAAGTTATATTTTTTACAACGCAATGGTATTGTAATTTGTATAGATTGTATTTATGTAATGAATACAATTAATGATTTTTACAAAATCAATCCGGCTTTCATTGCTTACACTCCAACTCCTCGATATCCTCTGAAGAAAATACCGACATGTTGATCAAAATGTCAGAAAGTCTAAACCGACAACGTGGCAAATGATTTCTTAATAGAAAACTTTTTGAGAACCACTAACTTCAGTACAGAATTTACGCGTAACGTTACCGATGTTATGCAGCACTCAATTTGAAGTTTTTAGTTGAAATATGAAGAAAAAAACGTTAAAAAATTACGAAATATCTTCATAAGAATGTCTTTGTATACACCAACAATGAGATCATTTATCAGAAGAGTCACCAGACACAAACCGATTTCGAGCGGAACCACCGTAAAAAGCGTTCGGACGTCTACCCAAGAACCATGCAGTTCGATAACCAGTGTCGGATTCTGCCCAGAATGTGTAGTACTCTCAAAATTTTTATGCTCAATCCATATAAATTTCAATAAATCGCATTGCCCAACCTGAGGTGAGGATCCTAAGGGATACAAGCTCCTAAAGCTTCCATACACAAGCGCATAAAGCTTTAATTAAACATTAAAATTAGACGAGGATTTTAAGATTTGAAAAAAAAATTGATATTTAATTAGGAGGTCTCTAATTTTATTTTCAGGTTTAATAATTATTGAATTTTGACATAAGATAAACGTGTATATTTAAACGTTCACAGATTGTACTTGTAATTTGACTCCAAAACAAATAAAAACACCTGTCGCCCGTCTTCAGATATAGAGGCTGGTGCATGTAGCATTTCTCCACATATGGTTCGGATAATAATAAAGTAATGCCCGGATTCTAGGAATGCTCATCATTCATTCACATTTAAAAAAAAGAACAACTCTAGCTGAAAGCTAAAACCTATTTGACGCTCGAAAAACTTCTCTAATAGTTTAAAGATTTGTTCTAACGGATTGAACGCTAACAAAAACAATGCGAATCATTTTAAGGAGGTTCGATACCAAAATAAAAATGGTAAGAATGTTTTCAAAGCAATTGAAATCTGTTAATAAATATGCAAACTGACTTGTGTAAAAATATCAGATCGATTGACAACGTAGATTTTTTGAAAAATGATTTTAAAAATTATGCTCTTTTACACAGGCTCTTATGGGAGTTGGGAAAAAACTTTAGTCAAACGTGAATATTGCTCTTAAAAATGGTTAGGATCGGAAAAATAAAATTGTAAATAAAGAATTAAATATTACTAAACATTTTAAAACAATAAAAATATGCACTTACAATGTAATTATTGAGATAATGGAATGAATAGATAACGTTTTGACAAATTTGAACAAACATCTGATCCAATGAAAGGAAATATGGCAACACTGTACGCTGTATTTAATGCTTCGACTGATGCGTTATATGTATTTGAATAGCTCGATTATAGACTATAAAATTATTCCAGTCGAAAAAATATGTAGTAATAATTAATATTAAATAAATTTTTCGTGATCTAATGCAATATACTAGCAATTTGAAACAAAAATTGAAAGGATCTCTTTGCAAAACGAACAGTATAGATGTTGTCATAATCTTCAATTTGACAAGTCGACGTCTCACTATCATACACTGAACTTCTTGATAGTTATCATATGGATTCTCGGTTTGCACATTTTATTTTATTCTCATCAATCCACATTCTCTTTTACACTCATTTTATATTACTTTTCAGTCATTACTTTTCCTTTGTACCTTGGTTGTTCATTCATGTTTACGGAATTCGCGCAAAGTTGACAATAATGACAGTTGACCCAACTTTTACCACCACGCCATGGCAATGTTGCCAGATTTCATCCATAATTTTACAAGCTCGTAATGAATAAATAGACGCTTTTATTCAAATAAAAAGTGAACTGACGTGTATTAAACACGAAAAAAATATGCAAGCTAATATGTGTTGTATAAATTTCAATCTAAATAGCATACTTAGTTCGCTGAAATTAATTTATGTAAAGTTGGTACTGCAACAAAACTCCCGTGTATAAACATAGGCATACTCTCCCCACCGCCCGCCCCGGAAGAGGTGTATCGAACGTCCTTAAATGACACACCGAACCTACGGTACAACTGGAAAAACAGTTCTTAGCGTTTTCCCGTTCTGAAAAATCCATAGCATACTCCAAACACGTTTGTTGTGTTCTCCAGACACAACAAACAACAACAACAACAACGTAGGCTGTGTTTGTGTTGGTAGGGGTAACGTAAACATCAAAACAAAAAAACAACGAGACAAAAAATAAACCAACGTAAATGGATTCGAAAAACACGTGATTCTGTGTATCACTTACCTATCAATTAGTTGCCGAAGGGGCTTTTTTCCAGATAAAAAAATAATGCAGAATACAACGCAACCATTGCACGTGCATCGAGGCATGCCATGCATTTCACGGCTGGGCTTTGGAGGATTAATGGTCTCTTTTTCAAATGTTTTCATAACAAACTTTCGACGATTTGACAAGTTACGACTTGATTAATTAGTCCCATATTGTAACCAGCCCGAAAAAATATAAATATAGATACGTATGTGGAGCATTCGTCACTCATACCGCCTGAAAACTTATAAGGGTATGTCAAGGGTAGTGTCGTATCCCACGACCTGAGCGGATTTAAAATTTTCGCTCAACTTTCCAATCGGAAATCGCCTCTACGCAAGACTAATCCCGGCCAATGAAGAAACCCATGCTCGAGGGGACGCAAACTACCCCCACCACGAAAAGTAGAAACCGTGACACGTCAAATAATATTTTTGACTATGTTTTGAAATTTTTTTTTGAAAAGAGAAAATTGACAGCGTCGCCGCCAAAATGACGGTGCAATCGCACAGAACGAAATAAATTGTTACCAGTTAACGGAGCAGGCTGGGCCTAGAAAAAAAAAGACGAGCGCTATGGAATCTACGATTCCGTAAACAAGCCAAGACCTGCAAGCTCGAGATGGAACGGTTTTTTGTGGCAACACACATGTTCGATGTGACAGCGTGGCTGGCGGTTAGTTAATATTAAATAAAATATGTTCGGCTCCGATCCGGGACTCGGGATTTATAGAAACACGTGAAAATGTTATAAATCCAAGGGTCGTCCGAGCCCGCCGTGGGAAGACGGGTTGTAAAATTTAAACCCAAAGCGTTTTATAACCGCACGCCCCTCCGTACGATATCATCGATATCCAATAAATTACAGAAAGTTAAAAACAATATATCTATACAGGGTTAATCTTAAATTGTGAAGGGTCATTCGCATAACGTTTCACACTTATTTTATTTATACAAATTGTTGTATAACGAAGGGACCATACTATAAGGAGAGGCAAAATACGCCAATCTAACCCAACTTACCTACTTAGCGATAATAAAGATAAGATAATAATAAAAATAGGGGTGTCAAAAATAAAAAAAAATTTTTCCTCATTATTTTTTAACTTATAGTAATTATTTGTACCAAACTGTACGAAATTGTTCTCACGGTTAGACAAGAATTTATAAATACGGTTGAGGAAATCCAATACAGGGTGGCATAAAAGTACGGAAACCCCAAAAAATCTAGCGAGATATGCATTTTCCGGAAAAAACAAATACATATAGGGAAAGTTAGGATTTTTCCCTGGCTATTCAAAGGTGACATTCCATGACCGCTGACCACTGACAACGTGGTCATTATGGGGTCAAGACGATTTTTTTAAACGGGAACCCCCCTTTTTGATCCCGGAAATGGAAAGGGCGGAAAATTTTACGTTCAGACATATCTGAATTGTCAAGGTCATAACCTTGACAATTCAAAAATTTCAAAATGGCGCCGAAATCAAGATGGCAGAGCGGATCCAATACGGCGGACGAATTTTTCTAAAATCAACCGATTCGCACCAAACGTTGGATTCGGGGGGTTTGTGGGGTCGCTGATCACGAATCCGAAGTCAAATTTGCAAAATTCAAGATAGTAATACGTGTGGAAACGTTACGAGGAAAACACTCACAAGTTAGTAGACAAACGTTTATTTCGGAAATGCAGAACCTAATGTTACAATGGCTAATGAGTCGGAGGATTTTATATTATCCGTTATCAGGGTTGTTTTTATTATTGTACATCGCTGAGTTAGGGTAAATATGATAAGTAATGTTTGTCCCTTTTGATGACAAATAAATGGGTGGTCATTACGGCTTAGTAATGACAAACAATATTGTTATTGGAAAAATAAAAATAAGATGCGTCATAGGTATACTATACTACAAGATGGCGGATGAATTTTTTGAAACGCAGTCGATTTACATCAAAGATGGTATACGGCTGGTTTTGGGGTTGCTGATCACGATTGTGGGGTCAGTGACTGCCAAAACCCCCGTATATGAAATATGGTTCCCATTGATTAAATTTTAAAAACCCATCCACCATCTTGGATCCGCCATCTTGAATTTTGAAAATCGGATTCGTGATCAGCGACCTCGAAAACCTCCGTATACAAAATTTGGTGCCAATCGGTTAACTTCCAAACAATTTCATCCGCCATCTTGATTTAGCCGCCATTTTGAAATTTTTGTAAACGTAAAATTTTCCGCTCTTTCCATTTCCGGGGTCAAAAAGGGGGGGTTACCATCTGAAAAAATCGTCTTGACCCCATAATGACCACGTGGTCAGTGGTCAGTGGTCATGGCATGGCCACCATTGAATAGCCAGGGGAAAATCCTAACTTTCCCTATATTTGTTTTTTTCGGAAAATGTATATATCTCGCGAGATTTTTTGGGGATACCATACTTTTATGCCACCCTGTATAGCACGAAATGTTGGAGTAAGGTCTTACATCATGTTTTCTGATTTACATAAACAGCGGCAATCCATGGCCACCTCGGATTCCAGATTTGAATCCAATGGACTTTTACTTTTAAGGCAGTTTTCGTCGAAAGTTTTAAAAAATCTAAGCAAGTTGACTATTGATTACTTGTTCTACACAGTAAATTGTACCGCTCTTGAAAACATACGTACATATTTAAGTTTCACCCCGTAT